TCTACTGTGACTGAATACTGTGCTGCAACAGAATTGGATATAGCAGTTAGCTTTGTAGTAGCTGCCTGCATCCAGTTATTGAGATTCGCCAATGACTGAGAGACTCGCAGTGCAATCTGAGGATAAGTAGATGAAGCCGACATTGGTAATGGCACTGATAGTCTAGCAGAAGTAGGTGGTCCGGAGGATGAAGTTGGCATGGCTGCTGTTTTGGTGGAAGTGTCGGCTACTGTGGAAGGCTCGACAACTTAATTAGTATCCACTACCGTTGGCTCCTCAAACTGGCCAGTAGAGGTAGTAGCTTTACCCTTGAATTTTGGGTTGTCAGCTCCCTGAATGTGGTACTATGAGAAAGGCTTCTTGGCATTCACTTCGGTATCATAATGTTTCGGCTCCACCCCTAGATCCTTGAAGTATTTTGTGAGGAAGTTCGGGTATAGATAGGATCTTTCACCCTTCTGGACAGCTAAAATGATATTGATGGACATGATGGCACTAATATTTATCGGATACCCAACCATAATTGAAGCCACCAAGACTGCACGGGGAAGTATGAGCATGTTTTCATTGAGGCATGGGTCAATACGGCTACACACAAACGTTTTCCACCCTTTTGCTTCAAAGTTTAGGGTGACCCGGACAATTGGAACCCCCACTGTGAGCCACGCAGGTGTTGACCCTGGGATTGCCAAAATCTCAGCTAACCACGGACGAGCTGCATCACCCATAGCTAGCTTTTCCAAGTATTGCACTGCTTCTACTTTTTCAAACACTACATATTTGTTCACTGCACAGGAGTCAAAGCAGATTTTCAGATTCCACACTTTTGTCACCTTAGTTCCCTGCCTGATGTGAGCAATATTTGCGTAGAATTCCTTGACTAGGTACTCATTGGCATCTATGATGTTGTTGGTGAACCATTTCCATCCTTTCCGCTCCTGGAATTGCCTAAGGACATTGGGATTGTGCTTGTTCAAATCTTTCATCAAAAATTGTCGCTCAAGCATGAGTGACCTCTATGTCCACCATTCCCTAAACTTTGCAAACGCAGTGGCACTGACAAATCTATCCTCCCATATCTCTGGCATCCTTGATCTCTTTAAACCTCCCACTACAGTATCTCCCTCTCTACCATCGTCTGGGACATCATCGTCATCGTCTAGGTTGATTGGAGCAGGTGGAGCATATGAGGAAGAGGGTTCAGAATCTTAACTATCCCCTTTCGAACCTTCAGACGAACTGGCAGCTGAAGAAGACTCATCTACCAAATTAAATCTTCCCCAAAGTTGTTGTGATTGGGCTTCCGGCTGTGCTTGCACGGAGTTACCCACAGAAGCTTCCGCGGTGGGGACATACTCACTGGTCTCAAAGGTATCAGGGGCTATATTGGCTGTGGCTTTTTTACTTATTGCCCTTTGGATGGCTAGAGGGAGGTTGCTTCTGCCTCGACCCCGACCTCGGGAGGGTTCTACGCTCCCTTTTGACATATCTCCTTTGCTGTGTGATCGAACCATTGTCTGCAACACATAAGAACTAGAAATCAGTTACAATTGAAGCTCATAATGTATACATAAGCATGATTGGAAGTTGCAGCAAAATAGTCTCAGAAGGGGCGGTGCGGACCGCATAAGAGCGAGTGTGGCCGCAGACAGTCCAGTACGAACTGCACAAAAGTGAGTGCGGTCGCATAACCAAGAGTGCAGAATGCACAATTTTGACTGCAGCCGCACATCCCCAGGTTCAAACTACTGGGTTCTATGATGTTTCATCAGTGCAGACTGCACAAAAATGAGTGCAGCCGCACAAGTCCACTGCGGACCGCACAATTTTGAGTGCAGCTGCACAATTCATGCACACAATTTCCATAACTCAGAGGTCAGTGGACCGCATAAAAATGAGTGCATCAGCAATTTGTTAAGGATTTTTGACAGACCAAACTTCAAAGACCATGCATTTTGACACTTAGCCAAATTTTCTTGCATAGTCCCTACAATGCACACCCATTCCTGCATACACTTCAAAACTAGTTAGCATCAAACAAAGCCTATATAATCTAAAAAAGAAAAACAAAAGAAAGAAAAAGACACATGGGTTGCCTCCCAAGAAGCGCCTGATTTAACGTCGCAGCACGATGCAGATTACCAATCAATTAAAATGTAGAACTGGCACAATGTGGCCATCATCAACTTTGCCAAGAGAATGCTTAACCCGGTGCCCATTGATTCTAAACACCTCATTGTTCTTATTTTTCAAATTTAGAGCACCAAAGGGGGTTACATTTACCACTTTAAAGGGGCCACTCCATTAAAATTTCATCTTGCCCGAAAACATTCTTAACCGGGAATTGAACAATAGCACAAGATCACCTTCTTTAAACTCCTTGTTGTGGATGTACTTGTAATTGAGGTACTACATCTTCTCCTTGTAAAGGGACGAACTTGTGTAGGCATGATACCGGAATTCATCAAGCTTATTCAAATGTGCCAGTCTTAGGTTTCCAGCGACATCCCACTCAAGGTTCAACTTTTCAAAGCCCACATGGTCGTATGCTCAAGTTCTACCGAAAGATGATACGCCTTCCCACACATCAATTGATATGGAGACATCCCAATCAACATCTTGTAGGCCGTCTTATAAGCCCAAAGAGCATCACAAGTTTTCTTGACCAATTCGTTCGATTGGCATTCACAGTCTTTGATAAAATACGCTTGATCTCTCGATTGGAGACTTCAACTTGTCCGTTTGCTTGAGGATGGTAGGGGGTGGAGACTTTATGAGTGATACCATAGTTGGTGAGTAATGTATCAAAAGCCTAGTTGCAAAAATCTGAACCCCCATCACTAATAATGGCCCTCGGAGTACCAAACCTTGTGAAGATGTTCTTTTTCAAGAATGCCACCACACTTCGAGCTTTGTTATTGGGTAAAGCCACAACTTCAACCCATTTTGACACATAGTCCATAACTACCAAAATGTAAGTGTTCCCACAAGAGCTCACGAATGGTCCCATGAAATCAATACCCCAAACATCAAAGATATCGATCTCTAAAATGATGGTAAGGGCATCTCATTCTTCTTAGAAATTCCACCGGCCCTTTGGCACTCATCACAATGCTTGACAAGCTCACTAGCGTCCTTGTAGAGGGTAAGCCAATTGAATCCACAAGTCAAAACCTTTGTAGCCGTTCTAGATCCACCATGATGATTGTCACACCTCCTTTTTCCTACACCCCGGAAGGGTATAACAAGAGTTTTTCCAATTAAAGGACAATCGAAACGGGATTGTTTATTAAAAGATTCAGAGTCGCCACTTGGGAGATTTATGGTGTCCCAAGTCACCGGTTGAATCCCGAATCGAGAAAAAGCTTGACTCTGTTTAACAGTCCGCGAACTAGAAATCCGAGTAAGGAATTATGTTAACCCGGGAGAAGGTATTAGGCATTCCCGAGTTCTGTGGTTCTAGCACGATCGCTCAACTGTTACGTTCGGCTTAATTATCTGTTTTGAAACAATTATGAACTTATGTGCATATTTTAACTTTCAAACCACTTTTATTTGATTTTATGAAGTTTCAACGTTATCTAAAACACATCTTGAACCACGCCACATGAAATGCACCCGCGGTCCATGACACATTTTATTTAATATTGTTGAGAATTGCAATTGGGTCACATGAAATGCACACCCGAAATTAGTAATTAAAAAAAATCAATTTAAGGAACGCTCCTAAAGCAAACTACGGTGTTCATGAATTGTTAACTTCTAATATTGTTTTGAGAAACATTGTAAGGTTGTATGGATTATGGAGCAGTTCTGGATCATATCCCAACATTGCTATTAGTGAGAAGACATTGCTACTGCTTTACTTCTTTCTTGGTCAAAATACACTACTATTAGTGAGCAAAACATCCAAAATATGGCCACCAATTCAGAATTTAAGAGGAATAATTGGTACTATATGTAGTGACCCTTTTGAAAAACAATTTACAAAATCTGATGTTGATGAGCATCGGGGAGGCTATTATTAAACAAGGAAGATGTGAGGAGTAAACTATTACCATTATTGAATTCTAATTCTTGCCCAACTTGAAGGAAATCAGACATGGCTTTTAGAATGACACACTTTTTACTAAAATAAAATATTTAACCACAATAAAATAATGGGAGTTGCAACTGCCAAATAATTGATCCTAAGGTCCGACTAGAAGAAAAGCACTGAACAATTGAGATTAAGGAATTATATATTTTGGAAATAAAGAACTACCAAGTCCTCACTTTGCCAAGAAGTACTAAAGCCAGAATGAAGATTGCTTTACCATATGGAGAACAAGAAGCACATACATGGGAATTCTAATTCACATAAAATCGATTTTCACTTCAACTTATTGTAAAGATGCTTGAATATCTCATTTTAAAATAAAGATCCATGACTAAGATTATCAAGTGATGCAAGTATATGTCACTGTAATTATACTTGTTCTCCGAGAAATCTTTGTTGACAGCCTCTTCCAACAATCAACCGCACTATTGCAGAGTTCACATCAAGCCTTTTAATTACAATCCTTAATGAAATCAAGGAGGAATAAGTAATTCTACTGTAATTACAGTTCATTTATAATGATATCCAAACATAAACAGAAGATACTCGACTCTTAATTCAAATCTGTCAATCCCATAGTTCATTCAATCCGACTTTTGGCTTCAAATTTAACAGCCCGACCAATTAATGGCTAAATCTGTAAGTCACAACTATACAAGACAATAACAAAACTCTTCTCATCACCCATTACTACACAGCTTTTTATCAAACATAAGGATCACAATTTCATTTTAATTAAAACTCATGCTTAACAATCAGGATATGTAAGTCAGCAAACAAAAAAAATCATTAAACTTAGCATGTAAGAACATGATTCACACTTCACATACTTTCAGTCCAAAATGAACATGTTGTCATATGATTCGAATGATAAATACATAATCAGAAAAGTGATTAATACCTGGACAACAGTAGTAAGACTTTAGAATAGCCAAATAAGGCCTAAAATAACTTCAAATTGGTGTTCAACTGCTAATTGAAGGGGAAACAACAACAAATAGCTTCGACTTCTGAAATCAAAGTTAAAATCGAACACCCATGAGATGTATATGTACTGCAGCAGTAATCGGACCAGATTTACATTCTTCGTGGTTCCTTTTCTTTACTTTTTTTTTTGTTTTCAAAGATTTGAGGGAGGGGATGCGTCTGGCTTTTGCTTGAGAAGGGATTTTCTGATTGTAAAGAGGGAAGGTTTTCTTTTTTTTTTCTTCTGTTCTTCAGAGAATTGGAGATGGGAGTTATGCGCCGTTTTTCTATTTCTCTCACGGTCTTCCCCGATCCCTTTTGTGCCTTAGCCCCCTTTTATGTGAGGGATTAGGGTATAAAAAATCAAAAAGGGGTAATGGGTCAAATGGGTATTGGTATTGGAATTGGGCTGGGGTTTAGAATTGATTTGGGCCTTCAGGAATTGGCCCAATTTTATAAGAAACAAGACAAAAAATACACTCTTCCTAATTTCTTTTTCTCCTTTTTCTTTTCTTTAATTAATTAATCTATTTTTGTAGAAATTAAAATTATTTATTTATTTCTAACATTAAAACAACTAATTAACTCAAAACTAAAGAAAAATGCTAATTTTAAAGACTAAAATCTAAATCTGTAAACATGACCATTTTTGTGATTTTTCTATGATTTTAAGTATATTAAAAATGTATGGAACACAACTAAATAAAGAAAAATTCCCAAAAATTAATTTAAATTATTTTTGCTCTATTTTAGGAGTTATTTTCATGTAGGGCAAAAATCGCGTGCTCATAGCTGCCCCTTTTTGCTCGGAAATACGAAGAGTTTTCGTGCAAAGATAAAGTGAGCGTATACGAGCGATTTTTGCCCATTTGATTACTCCGTGGGAAGCATTTTTGAAAGATTTTACCGCACTCTACTTCCGAGGTTGCCTACGTATCCTTGGCTAAAAAGGAATCAGGTCAGTATAGTTCATGAAATTTTGGTAGCTGGGACTACCATGAAGCTGTGACTTCACTATTGCTGCTGCTGCTGCTTACTGAACCCCTTATTACACCATGATAAAATAAAATAAAAGCTAGACTAGACTATAATCTATGCATTACAAAATCCTATCTACATCTTCAAACTTGCTCTTGTGGTTCTTATTGACTTGCTGACTTGTATTCTCCCGTGGAACCCCTTGTTGTCGCCTTGAATTGTAATCTAAGACATTTTCCCTTTATCCAGGTGGACGTCTGATTGCTGAAACTTGAATGTATTCCCTTGTCTTCAGGTGGACACCTGATTACTGAAACTTGAAATGTATTCCCTTGTTCTCCAGGTGGGCGCCTGATTGCTGAACTTGAAATGTATTCACTTGTTCTCCAGGTGGGCGCCTGATTGCTGAACTTGAAATATATTCCCTTGTTCTTCAGGTGGGCGCCTGATTGCTGAAACTTGAAAATGCATTCCCTTGTTCTCCAGATGGGGCGCTTGATTCCTGAACTTGAAATGTATTCCATTATTCTCCAGGTGGGCGCCTGATTGCTGAACTTGAAATGTATTCCCTTGTTCTCCAGGTGGGCGCCTGATTGCTGAACTTGAAATGTATTCCCTTGTTCTCTAGGTGGGCGCCTGATTGCTGAACTTGAAAAATGTATTCCCTTATTCTCCAGGTGGGCACCTGATTACCGAAACTTGAAATGTATTCCCTTGTTCTCTAGGTGGGCGCCTGATTACCAAAACTTGAAATGTATTCCCTTGTTCTCCAGGTGGGCGCCTGATTGCTGAACTTGAACCGTATTCCCTTGTTCTTCAGGTGGGCGCCTAATTGCTGAACTTGAAATGTATTCCCTTGTTCTTCAGGTGGGTGCCTAATTGCTGAACTTGAAACGTATTCCCTTGTTCTTCAGGTGGGCGCTTGATTGTTGAACTTGAAACGTATTCCCTTGTTCTTCAGGCGGGCGCCTGATTGCTGAACTTGAAACGTATTCCCTTGTTCTTCAGGTGGGCGCCTGATTGCTGAACTTGAAACGTATTCCCTTATTCTTCAGGTGGGCGCCTGATTATTGAACTTAAAATGTATTTCCTTGTTCTCTAGGTGGGCACCTGATTTCCACAAAATAGACAAAAAAAAACTTCTGCCCTAGTTTGGTTCTGGGCGCATCTGTGAGCGTTAATTGAATCATGTTACTAGAAAATCTCAAAGAATTTTAAAAGCTAGATCCCGTTATCCAGGAGAGTCCTGAAAACTCCTAGTTATATGACAGTTTTAAATCTAAGTTATATTTCCTAAACGTACGACTTCCGCTAAATCTTGTTATCTATGAAGACCTTAAAATTAAATCCCATTATCCAGGAGGGTCCTGAGAATTTAAAAACTAAATCCCATTATCCAAGAGAGTCCTGAAAACTTAAAAACTAAATCCCATTATCCAGGAGGGTCCTGAGAATTTTAAATTAAATCCCATTATCCAGGAGGGTCCTGAGAATTTAAAAACTAAATCCCACTATCCAGGAGGGTCCTGAAAATAAAAAATAAAGTATTATCTTAAAAGTGACAATCTTGCAGCTAAATTATATTACCCTACACTAGAACGTACGCTAAATGTTGTTATCTAATTGAAATCTTAAAGCTAAGTTCCATTATTCAGGAGGGTCCTCACAACTCTTAATTGAATCCTATCTTAAACATGCAAACTTTGAAACAAACTTATATTCTGATAAGTAGGATTTTAACATGTTTTATACCCATACTTGTTTGCGCCTTGAGTGTAATTTGCTACAAAATAGTCCCAAAATGCTTACAGATTGCGCTTGATTGCAGGTTTGAGCTATAAAGTGACAAATCGTCAAAGATCGGCTCAAATCGGAGTGAAATCTGCTCAAGTGTCAAAGATCATTAAAGTAAGGACATTCAGAACTTGGTGCGGACCGCACCATCATGTCATGCGACCGCACCGTAGGAGTTCAGAGACTGTGAAACTACAAGTCAAACATCATGCGATTCGCGGCCCTCTCCATGCGGCCCACGTCTCACTCATGCGGCCGGACAATCTTGATATGTGGTTGCGTCCAATAAGTTCAGAGAGTGTCAAATTCCAGAAGCAAACCACGCGGCCGCGTCCCACTTTATGCGGCCCGCGTCCATCTCCATGCAGTCGCACTCTATGGTCATGCGGTCCGCGTCCAAGAAGTTCAGAGAAGCTGCCAAAACTATTCATGCGGCCGCACAACAACTTTGTGCGGTCCGCGCCAGTCTTCATGCAGCCGCATTCCAACTTTTTGCGATCCATATCACCATCTTCAGAGAGCAATATTCAGAGGTCAAGCAACCCAGTGCGGCCACGTGACAACTTTGTGCGGTCCGCACTAACCCCGCAGGGGCATTTTTGTCCAGTTTTTTCAGCCCACTATAAATAGAATATTTTACCATTTTTAGGTGAAGTTTTGGTACATCTGATAGCTGCTGCACTCATGAGACTTATGTTTTGGCCTATTTTGGGCATTTATGGCTTGGTTTCATCATTGATTATTGTAGTTTAACATTAGTAATTAATTAATATGGTTGTTTCATCTTCTATTTTTTCAGTTTCTTCTTTAATTATATCTAGCTAAACCCATTAGCTAGGGTTGTGGCTCAACCCTAGTGTGGGTAATTAATGGGTGTTGCTTCTTAATGATAGATTGATATTGGGTGTTTGTTATTTGGGTTAATTTTATGGTTTAATTAAGGATTGATGGTTGCAAACATTGATTCTAGCTTAGTGGGTCTTGACTCTTCTTGAGAAAGAGAGTCTATGACCCCAAAATTGACCCAACAAGGAATTGGGGTGGACCCATGAGAAATGGTAGTCCCAATTAACGGGTTAAACCTCGAGAGAGTAATCACCCTACTTGAACCCAAGTTGCTTGGTCTAATTGGCCTACCCAATTGGTCTCGAGAGAGTCAATTGGGCAAATTCGCTCTCCCTACCGAGAGGTGTGAGAGTGGGTACAATTGTGCAACGGTTATAACATTGATCCCAAATATGTCAATCTATTATTAGTAGTCTCTACCCGTTAGTTAACCACCTAGGTGATGCCACGACCCTAGTGCCTTTCTCTATATTAATCACAACTTAGAACATATCCCTTCAGCATAAATTAGCTTAAACTTGTAGTTGATAATAGTAGTTATTAAACAAAAACCCCAAAAAATGTTAGAAGTACAATTAGGAGCAAACACGCATTCCTAGTCTGAACAAATACGCAACTCCATTCCAAGCTCCCTGTGGAAATTGACCTCGATACCACTATTCGGGTAAAAGTCTTAGCATCCGCTCTTCCTACCATTATGTGAGGTTGAGTTTGCTGCGATCATCTTTTGGCTCCGTTGCCGGGGAGCTTACAGTGTTGACTGTTTGTGTAGCTAGTTTTGTGTTTTTCTTTTCTTTCCTTCTTTTTACTAATTTTATTTGTGTCAATTCACTCAGGTACACATGGCCTTAAATGCAAATGACCCTCTTGGCAATGTGGTCGTGGGGGAGGAGGTTGAGGATCTAGAACAAGAAGACGTATTACCTCAATCTCCTAGGAGAGGTCGACATGCCAATGCAAATGCCAATTCAAATAAGAATATACCAGACCCTCCTCCACCTCCACCAAGAGTGGCACCAAGAGTTCTACCCAATCAAGGGTACGCAAGTGCAATACTTCCTCCCCGAATCCGGGCGGGGAACTTCCAGATTACAAATGTGATGCTCACCTTGCTCGAACAACGAGGTTATTTCACGGGGGCCACTGATCAGAATGCTTATAAACACTTGAAGGGCTTTGTGGATACTTATTGGGGTAGCAAGCAGACAAATGTTTCGGAGGATGCATTGAGACTTCGACTTTTCCCGTTCTCACTTCGGGGGAAGGCGTTAGATTGGTTGGAGAGGCTCCCTAATCATTCCATCACTACATGTGATGAGTTGGCGGACAAGTTCATCGCTAAGCTTTTCTCTACAGGTCACATGGCGGCTCTACGGGACGAGATTCTAGCCTTCAAGCAAGAGCCGACTGAACCGTTACATGAGATATGGGAGAGGTTTAGAACAATGGTGAAATAATGCCCTAACAATGATATGACTGATGTGATGATCCAACAAATATTCTATAGGGGCATCAACACAACCAACCAATGTATTGTGAACCAACTGGCGGGAGGAAATTTTATGAAGCTTCCTTACAATGAAGCTTGTGATGTGTTAGATGAGATGGCCGACACATCGTCGGCATGGCAAAGCCGGGCTAATGTGCCTCAAGGTGATACTAACATCACACATTTGCATAAGGAGTTACATGATCACGGCCAAGCCATTGCCGAA